ATCAGAGTTTGATTTTGATTTTGGCATTTGAACAAGTCTGAGAATCTTTGCCATTTTATAGGATCACTTAGCTTATTTATGTTTAGTTATATAACATAAGATGCTATAGTCTTGCATTGTGTTTTTTACATGCTTCTATCATAATTATGTGTTTTATGATCTATCTTTTGGTATGTGGACTATATTTTGTATGCTTATTTTCTTTAGTGTAAACTTTCCCTTCTATTTTTAACTCTAGTTAGTTGTTACCAGCCATTCTATAGATGTATTTTCTAAGTATTATTGTCTGGAAAAATTTAATGGTTCTTGATTCCTCCTTGTATAAGATCAGGCAATTTTCATGCCTTTACTTCCATCATCATCTCTATTTCATCTCATTTTTCTGACTTTAAAACATAATTTTAGCAATACTATATTAATAGCTAATTTTTGTCTTTTTTTAATAATTATTTTTGACATTTGCATTCTGTTTTGTAATAATATGTACAACAGTCTTTTACAATTCTGTTTTAAATATATTTTACCAGTAAACTAAATTTGCTCATATTTTAGTTATTAAGAGTTTAAAATTATCTTTAAGGAAGCTAATTTTTGTTCTGAGTATTTAAAGAAATTAAATCAATAAATGCTTATGTATGCAAAGAGTCAAAAAATATTTCATTTGCCTTCACAAATTATTGGCAATTTAGCTATGTCTAGAATTTTTGGAAAAATGTGTCCTGCTAAAATTCCTTTGACATTCCTCTTACATTTTCTAGAGAAGCTTCATGCTAGCCTCATTTTATACTTGTATTTCTTGCAGCATTGTTTTAGGTCATTTTTATTCTCCATTTAATATTTTAAATTCAAATACTCACCGAGTACAGGTCTAGGAATTGGCCACATTAAGTTGGTAAATGCTTTTGATCTGCATCCTAGATTCATTTCTCAGCTCAGGACAGGTTATTGCTATTTGTTTGTTTGCTTGTTTTACATGCTTGCATTTTGTTTACAATTTTGATTTGTAAATACTTACTATTTATCACTTGACCTCTGTTGTCTTTTTCTCATTATCAATCAGCACTCTTATGTTAAAAAATCCCTATATCTTTCTCTTTTAGCTTAGAACTTCCTAGTTTTACTTCCATATCACTAATTGTGTGTGTGTGTGTGTAATTTTCAGCTCTAATACTTATGGCTTCTTAGATTAAAAAGTTGGCCATTGCAAATTTAGTTATCTTTTAACTATTTCTTTTTAAAAAATGAAACACCACATACCATACAACTCATCCATTTAAAGTGTATGATTCAGTGGTGTTTTTTTTAGTATATTCACAGACATGTACAGCCAACACTACAGTCAATTTTAGAACATGTTCGTGGCATCAAAAGAAACTTTGTATTTTAGTTATCCTCCCCTCCCCTACAACTCTACCACCACCCCACTAGCCCTAAGCCACCACTAATCTATTCATTATTTCTGTAGATGTGCCTATTCTGGATATTTTATATAAATGGACTCTCAGTACAATGTTTTCAAGGTTCACACATATGTTGTAGCATGTATCATTACATCACTTCTTTTTGTGGCCGAATAATACTCATTGCATGGATATAATACATTTTGTGTATGCATTCATTAGTTGATGGAAATTTGGGTTATTTTCACCTTTTGGGTATTATGAATAATGCTGCTGTAGACATCTGTGTACACATTTTCATGTGGACATATATTTTTATTTATCTTGGGTATATACTATAAGAGTGGAATTTCTGGGTCATATAGCAACACAATGTTCAAACATATGAGGAACTGCCTAGCTGTTTTCCAAAGCAACTGTACCACTTCACATTCCCACCAGCAGTGTGAGAGTTCCAGTTTCTCCTTATTCTCACCAATTCTTGTTATTATCATCTGCCTTTTTTATTACAGCTATTCTAGTAGGTGTAAAATGATATCTCATTGTGGTTTTGATTTGCATTTCTCTGATGACTAGAGCTATTGAGCCTCTTTGCATAAGTTTATTAACCATTTTTATATCTTTTTGGAGAAATGTTTAAGTCTTCTGCCCATTTAAAAAATTGGGTTACCTTTTTTTGTTGAGTTATAAAAGGCTTTTTAATACTGAATATTAGACCCTTATCAGATATATGATTTGCAAACATGTTCTCTCATTTTGTAGGTTGTTTCTTTCACCTTTTGGATAGTGTCCTTCAAAGCACAAACATTTTTTAAATTTTTATAAAGTCCAATTTAATCTGTTCTTTTTGTAGTTTATGCGTTTTGTGTCATGTCTAAGAAACTATTGCCAAATCAAAGGTCATAAAGATTTACTCCTATATTTTCTTCTAAGCATTTTGCAGTTTCGGCTTTTTACATTTAGATCTTTGTCCCCTTTTCAGTTAATTTTTGCATATAGTGTGAGGTATAGGTCCCACTTTATTCTTCTGCATGTGGATACCCAGTTGTTGCTGTGCCATTTGTTTAAAAGACTATATTAATTTTTCCATTGATTGGTCTTGGCACCCACACTGAAAATTAATTGATCATAGCTGAATGAGTTTATTTCTGGATTTTCAATTATTTTCCATTGGTCTATAGGTCTATCCTATGCCACTACTATGTTATCTTGATTACTGTAGACTTGTAGTATGTTTTGAAACCAGGAAGTATGAATCTTCCAACTTTGTCTTTCTTTTACAAGACTGTAAGATTGCTTTGGCTCTTTTGGATCTGTTGCTATTTTAGAGTCAATTTTTCCATTTTTACAAAAAAAATGGACTTTGTGATTTTGATAGGTATTACATAAAATCTGGAAATTGGGGTAGTATTCCATCTCAATAAATCAAGTCTTCCAATCCATGAACATGGGATGTCTTTCCATTTATTTAGGTCTTCTTTAATTTCTTTCAGTAATTTTTTTGTAGTTTTCAGTATACCAGTCTTGTTCCTCCTTGGGTATATTTATTTCTAAGTATTTTATTCATTATTTTTCTGAGACAGAATCTCACTCTCACCCAGGCTGGGGTGCAGTGGCATGATCTCAGCTTACTGCAACCACTGCCGCCCAGTTTCAAGCAATTCTCTGGCCTCAGCCTCCCGAGGATCTGGAATTATAAGTGCCCACCACCATGCCTAGCTATTTTTTTTTTTTTTTAATTTTTAGTAGAGACTAGGTTTCACCACGTTGGCCAACCGGGTCCCAGCTCCTGACCTCAAGTGATCCTCCCACCTTGGCCTCCCAAAGTTCTGGGATTACAGGTGTGCACCACCATACTTGGCTGACCTCCCATTTTCTGCCACATTGAGTTTAAAATCCCTTGTTTGGCTTTTAAAGCCCTGAGTTCCCCACCCCTCAAAGAAAAAAAAAAAAAAAAAAACGATTAAAAAGTCAAAGGAAGGTTGGGAATGGGTCTGACTGTTCCTGTCATTGGCAAAGGCCTCATGTCTCTGATATGAGGCCAAAATGTTTATCATTGCTTCCTGTGCACCAAACCTGTTTCTAAGTGCTTCATGGGTAGGTCATAGAGCTGTGCAGCACTCTATTATCACATTTTACAGATCATGAAATGGAGGCACAAAAATGTTAAATAACTTTCAAGGTCACACAGCTTCTGAGAGATGGAGTCAGCATAAAACCCTCAGCCCAACTCTGGATCCCTGGTTCCCATAACCTCTCCAGCAACATATCCTACTTTAAGTATCCTTTTCCTGCATCTGTGCCTATGGGCATCTCTTAACCCTGAGCATAAATTTCCTTTAGGGTCTGGCAGGCTATGAGTAACATTCCTAGTTTCTTTTGCAGTTGGAATTTTGTATCACATTGGGGTGTTTTTGTAAGTATTTCAGTAAGGAATGTGAATCCAGCCCCACTAGCAACTATCATCTTAATTCAGAAGTCCTCATGGAATTCTGTGAATATAAATTTGGTTTTAGTGACTGCACTTATTTTACAGATGAGAAAAATCAGAGCCCAGAATGACTAGGCAACCTCCAAGACATAGAACTAGTTAGCAAACCTGGGATGGGAACTTGAGCTCACCCTTACTTGGTTTGTTCCCTACTATGCCTTGCCAAGTAAACTCTCTAAGAAGTTGCTGAGGTACAATTGCATCTTTCCTTACCTCTTTCCAAAGTACATCCTCAAAAGCCACAGGCAAACTTTGATTTGAGTTTTTTAGCCTGCTTGATTTCTACTTACATAGGAAAATGGAATGCACACCCTTACCTGAGAATTTCTCAAATTAGGCTGGTGACAAATACCTTTTAAAGCTCCTTTACTTGACATCCTATTAATTTTTTTTAAACTCCCATTGTTTTGTTCCTGACAGATCTGTTATGTTTCAGATGTGACACAAATGTACACTTAGAGGGAAACTTCTTTAATAAGTGATATTTGCCTCAGACTACTGAGGTTATTTTAGAAAACAAAAGCCAAAGTACACTTACCAGGACATTCACCTTGTCATAAATTTATCTGGCATATTTAATTGATCGAAATTTCTGGGTTAGACAGTTATCAACGCATGTGATAAATTGTTGAGCATGTGGCATTAATGAAAGGTTTTGCCATTGTCATGGGGAGGAAGCTTCCTGGCACATGGGTGACAGGACCTCAGAGACAATGCTGCTTGGGTTAGCAGCTGGGGCAGGCTGCATTTTATTACATGTGTCCAGAGTCTCATAGTAGACATGTAGACTTGAGGAGGGGGAGGCAATATTTGTATCCCTACTAAAACCAATTATGGTAAACACTAATTATTCAGATTTGAGCTCTTTACTAAAAATCCCCTGAACTGGGTTTTTTAAGTCAGGCTGTCATGGCAGAACCAAGCAGGAGAGAAAATAATGGAATAATTGGAGGCTGCTGTCTTTTCACTTCCCACATAAAATTATTTGAAGAGACAGGCCAGAACTTTAAACAGGAGATACCAAGAAAAGTTGTAATTTGGATGTCGGCTGTCATGACTTTAGGGTGTTTGCTTAAAGGACTTTCCCCTCACTTTCTCTCCTTCCCCAGACATACTTCAATGACAATATCCTCACCCTGATACGGACCCTGGTGACCGGAGGAGCCACACCGGAGCTGGAAGCTCTGATTGCTGAGGAGAACGCCCTTAGAGGTGGCTACAGCACCCCGCAGACACTGGCCAATAGGGACCGCTGCCGCGTGGCCCAGTTAGCTCTGCTCGATGGGCCATTTGCAGACTTAGGGGTGAGTCCACAGCACCATGGTCACCTGAGCTTGCTGTCTGGGAAAAGCTTGATCTTGAAGAACGTAGTGTCAGATGTGACAAGCAAGGCATCTGTCTTTTCTCCTTCCTATTGTAGATAACTGTAAGAGGTGATATTTATGGTTTACTCTGTATCAGGCACTTTGTTCTATGCATAAGTCATTCATTTTAATCTTCATAGCAATCCTTTGATGTAAGTTCTAGTAACACACCTTCTAAGTCAACTGAGGCTCAGAGAGAATGAGCACTGGACCTATTGGGAATTTGCACCAAGGCATCCTGGCTTCAGAACCTGTGGGCTTTCTCACTCCTTGGTGTTCTCTTCACGTATCCTCTGCACGAGGTGGAAGGCAGCAGGTGATTCCAGCATGCAGCCAAGGTTGGAAAATATTTCCACAGGCTCTTAGCATAGCTTAGGGATACTCAACCCAACTATACATTAATAGCACATGGAGGTGGCCAGCCGCATCCTTCAGGTTTCTTAGATTTTATATGTGAGTATGACCCAGGCAGTGGTGGTTTTCAAAGCACCAGGGTAGTCAGTAGTCAGATGTATCCAGAACCACCAGCCAAACAAACAGAATCTCATGTGGATCCTTTAAATGCCTGTAATTCAAAACCTAGACCTTGTAATTTCTGAGATTGGACCCAGTCACGTTCCCTCGGGTCCTCCCTGTGACAGAAGTGGCCAGCATCTCCCTTCTGATTCCATGCACCTGCCTAGCATAGGCACTGTGACAGAAGTGTAGTGTCTTTGCCCTTATTCCCAGCTCAACCCCACAGATGCATTTAAGAGATGCAGCCATATTCATAGAAACTGATAAACCTGTTACGCAAACAATAGTGTCGCCCAGAAAGACTAAATAGTGGAAAAGGAGCCAAGGAAAGGGTCTGTCTCTGTTTTTTCTGAAACAATTCTGCATACTTGCCCCATATTTTAGTTTGATCATGGGCTGGGACCTATGTGAGACCAGGCTTTTTTTGAAAGGGAAGTTTCATAGCTAGTGGCTCTTTATACCTATCATTTACTTACTGATGCACTTGATTAGGATAAAGACTTTAGATAATGGTAACCTTTGGTCCCATCTGTGTTCTTTAGTATGAGACCAATATGAGAATTCCAGTGATTGGAAGGACGAAGACAGTCATTTTATTCCCAGTGAAGCCATCCCGCAGTGCCCAGTGCCCTTCATGTAATACTGTTAACATCTACCTGAAGCCACCTGGCTGCTGAAGCCAGCATTTCCAAGTGGATGCATTTGCTTTCACTTTCTGCATCAGGCCCCAGACCCTGGGAAGGTGGCTGTGAATTGATCAGAACTGCGAATCCCAGTTATTCAGCCTGCAGGCCCCTGGCTCCTGGGGAAACACATTCTCTTCCACCCTTGCCATCTCTGAGGTCTGTAAATTGTGCTTTTCACAGGGTCCTTACCTGAAAGAGTCTGTCACCATAGGACCTGGTGGGGTCCTCCTCCTCGCTGTGGTTTTCATTATCACTCAGGTGGTTTTGACAACACGATCCTATCACAGTGGTTACAGCTGAGCTGGGGCTGAACATAATCACCATTTTGCAGAGAAGGGTTCATCTCCTCAGCTGAGCATGCATCTGAGACCGTCAAGCTTTACACTTTCACTTAAAGTGAGGGAGAAGCATAATCTCCTTAGAGCTTTCAAACCCCATTGCTACAGGTGGAAAACTGGAGAGACACCAGAGGAAAGCCCCATTGTTACCTGATCCCTAAAAATCACACATATTGTCTGTAGTCTGTTAACCATGTTGACTTCTTCCACTGCCGTCCCTTGGCACATGGACCCTCCAACTTGGGAGACACCAAAACAAGCTTTGATGAAAAGACCCTTTTCCCTGCTGGCCCTTGATTTTCAGGCAAATAAAAAGGATGTTTCTCTCTGTTCTGTTGCTGTCTCCCAGGATGGTGGTTGTTATGGTGATCTGTTCTGCAAAGCTCTGAAAACATACAATATGCTTTGTTTTGGAATTTACCGGTTGAGAGATGCCCACCTCAGCACCCCCAGTCAGTGCACAAAGAGGTGAGTATTGGTTTCAACTCTGCCCTCCCACCTAATCACAGAAACAATAATCCCCTACTGTAAAGGCAAAGGTCTGTATACATCTCCCCAACATGCAAGTTACCCTGCCCATATTAAATCTGGCACTGAGTTTGAAGGTGATGGGAAGCATTTTTCTATAATTACTAATAGTGGATGTAAAGACATTTTGGTAAGAATTCAAGTTTTGTATTAATAGAATAATTCCATCCCCCAATTACAAAAGTCTGAATACAAACATCTCTCCCAAACTCCAGCTACTAGGATAACATCTGTTGGTATCTAATATAGAGATATATCATTTCACATTGCTAGTGTTTATGATAAGTTTTTTTTTTTTTTTTTTGAGATGGAGTCTTGCTCTGTCGCCCAGGCTGGAGTGCAGTGGCGCAATCTTGGCTCACTGCAACCTCTGCCTCCTGGGTTCAAGCGATTCTCCTGCCTTAGCCTCCTGAGTAGCTGGGATTACAGGCACACACCACCCCACCCAGCTAACTTTTGTGTTTTTAGTAGAGACAAGGCTTCACCATGTTGGCCAGGCTGGTCTCGAACTCCTCACCTCAAGTGATCCACCCACCTCCGCCTCCCAAAGTGCTGGGCTTACAGGTGTGAGTCACCACACCCGGCCCTAAGACAAGTGGTTCTTCTGCCATATCTTAGAATCCCATATTTTTACTTTATATATTTTAAATTGACTCACTTTTTAACTTTTATATATTTATTTTTGAGACAATTGTATATTATCACCTTAAGCAGAAAAAATAACAGTTTAGATGTGCTAATTATATTTTTCTCATATGCATTAAAATAAATTCATAGCAGGCAAAAATGAAAAGTACATCCTAGAATTACCAAGATCAGTGAGTTTGCATAATATACCCTAGGCAACAGTGCTGCAGAGACAGGCGTTTCTCATCCCTGCTTGCATAGTAGAATCACCTGGGGAGCTTTTAAAAAATATTCTGATTACTCTAATTTAACTGGTCTGGAAGGAAGAAAAAAATCATATATATATTTTAAAATATATAACAATTTTATATATAATACCCAGGGATTATTGTGTATAGCCAGAATTGAGAACAATTGCTATAGACCAGTGGGTTCTCAAAATTTAGCCAGCATGAGACTCACCTGCAGAGCTTGTTCAACCACAGATTGCTCTACCCCATCCTCAGCACTTCCAATTCAGTAGGTCTGGGTGGGGTTGCTTAAGAACTTGCATTTCCTAGTTCGTAGGTGATGCCGAGCTGTGTGGCCTGAGGACCACACTTTGTGATCCACTGCTCTAAATGAAACAGGGTGATCATCTTAGTCACATCTGCTGTTGACCAAAGAAAGCTCCAACTCATTGTGAAGAACAACAAAGTGCTGATAAGTAGGCAGGGTTCTTAGATTCTTCACGTGGTGAATTCCAAATTCCATATTCTCCCACCAAAATAGATTTTAAAAGGTAAAGAGCGAGAATATAGTCTAAGGAGACACTCTGTAATAGTAAGCAAAGATCTTGTGATGTATATCTGGGATTGTCCAAAAATTCTGGAATGAAAGTTGCATCACACTTCATGAAACCTCCTGCGGCTGGGCTCCTTGGAAGTGACTTTGACCTTGTATAGAAAGGTACCTGTAGACCACGAGAAGCAAAGTTTGGTCCTTCCATTACTGGCCCTAATTCCACATCTCTGCCTGGGCTCCTGGCTGGCCTCCTTTGTTGAGTTAAACAGAGGAAGTTTCCATTTAACAAGGAAAAGAATGTTTAAGGCCTCGGACCAGCTAGAAGTGCATCTTCCAGATCCTCTGAAAGTCCTGAGTAACCAGGCTATTGCTTTTGGTTCAGGGAGGGTTGAATTCTCTACTCAGTTATTCTCAGGCGGTGACATCTCTGCTTTTCCTGTCCAGGTATGTCATCACCAACCCCCCCTACGAGTTTGAGCTCGTGCCGACGGACCTGATCTTCTGCTTAATGCAGTTTGACCACAACGCCGGCCAGTCCCGGGCCAGCCTGTCCCATTCCTCCCACTCGTCACAGTCCTCCAGCAAGAAGAGCTCCTCTGTTCACTCCATCCCATCCACGGCAAACCGACAAAACCGGCCCAAGTCCAGGGAGTCCCGGGACAAACAGAAGTACGTGCAGGAAGAGCGGCTTTGATATGTGTATCCACCGCCACTGTGTGAAACTGTATCTGCCACTCATTTCCCCAGTTGGTGTTTCCAACAAAGTAACTTTCCCTGTTTTCCCCTGTAGTCCCCCCCTCTTTTTTTTTACACATATTTGCATATGTATGATAGTGTGCATGTGGTTGTCATTTTTATTTCACCACCATAAAACCCTTGAGCACAACAGCAAATAAGCAGACGGACCAAAAGTTATTTATGATTCTAGGGGAAAAATAACCCAAAGGCATGCTCCAGACATAAATAGCTCACTGCAAGAACGAGTTCACAGATTAGAAGGGAGCCCTTGTGATCAATGTCAGTTAGGCAGAACAAGTTTATTTAATGTAAAAGAAAAGTTGATTCTGATTTATCAGGATTATCAGGGTGCTTTGGGTTTTGATTTTGTTGTTGTTGTTGTTGTTTTCCTTTCTTTCTTTTTTTATACACACAATAAGTTAGTACATGTTTATTTGAAACAAGCAACCAGACAGCAATGAAAACATATCGATTGTTTCCAGTCTCTGGGCCGAAGTATTGCGAAGCCTTTGAAAAGCTTTCACAATTTGTGTAGATGATTTTGAAGGACTTGCTTGTTGCAAGAGAACATCAGAGATTTTTTTAGTTACTCACCAAGGCCTTTTGTCCCAGAGCCAGTTCCCTCTGGGAGTTCTTATGAACATTTCTCACCTTAATGTGGAGGAAAGAATAGTATTCCAATCATGGATGTATCAAATTCTAGTCATTTAGTTTAAGTGAAAAGAGGTTTGATTGCATATTAAATTGTTATTCTGTCTCCTTATGTTGCCATATGAATAGCTAGTTTTTTTCTTTCACTTTTGACATTTGGGATGAAAAGCCATATGTATCATAAATATCAGATGTAAGTCATTAAAAACTGCCTTCCTGGGACTTTCACATCTTTTAAAAGGTGAATTACTTACCTTATGTACAGAATAAATAATGCTCAGGAAAGAGCAAGTATTTTTCCATGTATCCTCAGGGGATCCTTTTACTCCCCTTTGTTTGATTAGTTAGGGCCCCAATGCCAGGTAGGAGGAAAGGCTGGGGCAGAGTGAGAGGAAGACAAGCCCAGCTGCAGATCATGTTTTTCTAGGAGCCGACATGCTAAATAAATTAGAATGTAGGAGGATCAGCCACAGTTGACTCAACAAAGACAAAAGACAGCCACCACCTTCAACTGTTGGCGCAGCTGCACGGTGCTGGCTGTCCCAATGAAGGAAGCTGGTGGGAAAGAATTCCTCATCATCACTTTAGTAAATGTAGCCAATTTAGGCAGGGTGATGACGACAATAGAGAGCTGCTCCTTGTCATTATGAGACGTGGGATGAGAAGAGTGCAACAGTGAGCCAAACACGTTTTGGTATAGTTATTTTTTCTTTTGTTTTTGTTCTTTCTTTTTTAACACTTAGTAAGCATGAGAGGAGAGGTAGAAAAATACCCTTTTTTCAACATATAGTTGTCAGATGCTTTGCGCATGCAAATCATGCTTTAGGCAGTGCGGTAGTTCTTAAAAATTGGCCAATTCACCATAACCAATTTCTCTTATGGATGGACTAGGCCGGTATAGATATATTTGAACAGTTTAAAGAATTCCATCAAATAGAATAGGGGTAAAAGGGAGGAGGAAAACATGTCACAGCTGTACCATCTCTAAAAAGGTGTTTTTATGGTGAATGTTTTGGATTTAGATTTTGGATCCCTCGTCCCCTCAAGCATGATAGTTTTGGAGATTTGCTTGCTGTGTGAATTGACAAGCACTTTTACTGACAAATGGTGAGGCTCTGTCAGAACCTCCACCCTCCCCCGCACCAAAGACAGGGGCAGCGTAGTATTCAAACCAGTATTGTGATGGGGAATAATTGTATACATGTAAATTAACAAGCCCTATGAGTGGAAGAATTTTTTCAAATTATTTTTGTCTTTCTATATATTGATTTATATTATGTATAACTATCTCTTTATATAAAACTATATATATAACTATATATATATAACTATATATATATATATAACTATATATATGTATCCCCTAGTATTGGATCATGAAGAGCTCTTCATGCATTCTTTGCAAAGGAGGTTATAAAGTTACGCCCTCAGAACATTTATAACTATAAGAATGTGCCAGTTAAAGTGCTCAACAGGAAATATGACAGTTTAAAAGCATTGTAAAACTCACATAGCTTACTTCTCTCTCTAAAGTGCAACAAGGATGAATAGAATGGGCCAAGGTATGACAATTAATGGTTCTGCATGACCTAGCCACTGCTGGGGGTTTTCTTCTATAACGTTGTCCTTGTGAAAACTTTTGTGAAATTAAAAAAAAAGGAGTTACAAATTTTATTCTGTTATTGGTTTGTTTATTTTTATTTATATTGTTCTGTTTGTGGTTTTATTTATTTTGTTTTGCTTCCCCCCCTTCCCCTTTCCCTCTCCTTTTCCCTTCCTTCTTCTCTTCCTTCCTTCTTCCACTTTCTAAATTGCTCAGCGCAATGAGGCTGTGCTGCTGCTATTGCTAGATTCCTTAGAGTTTGTTTTGGTGTTCTTGGGTGTGGGGTTGGGTAATTTGGGGGGAACTTCTCTCCATCTGGCTTGCCTTTTAATCTGCACGTGGCCTCCCTGCCCACCCTGGTACCTTGCTCCAAGTCCGAAAGCATTTTCCCATCAAGAAACCCAGCTTCCTTCACTTCCCCCATTGCCACCCCCCAACCCCAGTCCCCACATCGGTCTGTTCACATCTCTGTGTTCATCTTGGCAAGACCTACTCAATCAAGTGATGATGCCAGTTGATAAACTTTTCTGGAAAACATTTACAGCTATTCCATTTGGCGAACCTGCTTCTCTGTCAATATTTCATCCTCCTTTTATTTAAACCAGGAGGGTTATTAATGGCAAAAGCATTGGTCTTCTTTATGCTTGATCAGTATGACTCAAATTAAAAGTGTTCTGCTGTGTATATCAACTCAACAGCCCACACCCAGTTATCTGGGAGCTGATGGTTCAGTCACTGTATTACCCAAATCTCTCCTGCCACCTGCCTTTCAGACATTTGTTAAATCCCAACCAGAGATCGGGCAGATAGAGAGAAGTAAATCCAAAGTGCATTTTATACACAATCTGTTAGCAACTCCAATGAGATGATATTGTGATGGGAATGGAATGGGAACAGACTATGATATGAGATGGAATTTTGAGGTTTTCCTGGACTTTGGGCACACAGTCATGCCCCAGTGGTAGACAATTGGGAATTGACCATATTTGACTAATGTTACATTTGATGATGGAGAAGGATCATTATTACTTCAATTTTATTTGCCAAAATTACTATATTATACTTTCCTTAATAGAGTGAAGAGTCTCCTCCATTGTTTTCTATTTGACTCCAAACTTCCCCTTCTTCTTTCAGTAGAACATCCGCTTACCTAGGAAGTGGGCATACAAGTTTCTTATTATTATATCTCTTTCTGTTCACTGCCCCCTTCCCCTCACTGCAAAAAAAAAAAAAAAAAAAAAAAAAAAAGAGAGAGAGAGAGAAAGAAAAGAAATAAGGAGGTAAGGTAAGGGTAGAAAGTGAAAGAGTTCTTTGAAAAGAAAGTACATACATTTAAAAAGTTAGGAACTCTGTTATCTGCATCATTCTAGAAGAGAAGAAATTTGTAAGCCATTTAGTCCAACTTGCTTTGGGCTTTGAAAGGGGTGAACAGTAAGTAGGCTGGTAAACCAGAAGGCACGGTGAAGCCTTCTCAGTCTCAACACTCGGGTGATCATGGCATCATCAGTGTCCCTAAAGTCTGCTACTCAGGGTTCTTTCCAAGTCCAGTTCAAATGGATAGAGAAAGCTAGACCCTTATACATACAGTTAAACTTCTGCTACAATTGGGAGAGGTTGCAAATTCTGTTCTGAATATTAAAGATTATGACCCAGATCCTTACCGTAGGTGCTCAATAAATATTTGATATAAATTGACTTCACATATTTTATACCTTTAACCATTTTCTATATTACCCTTGTCCCCTTGTTTATTTTTTTAAAAAATATGAGTGCCTCTACATGCCTCACGATGCTGCTGTGCTGGTGCCGCTTTCTCAAGCTGGTCACACGGCTTCCGAGAATGGGGAATAGCCCTGTAAGCTCAATGAGTAGAGAGACCGACTATGCCTCTTGGCAGCATTGTCAAGATCCCAGATGACCAGAAAAACCTTTTGCCTGGCTGTTCTGCAGCATGGGAAAAGCCTAAAGGTGTCTGCATCCCGATAGAGACAATTAAATCAACCTGCCAGGTTCCTATAGCAACAGGCTCCTTGAAGTAGAAAAAGGAGAGTACAGAAACTCCAGGGCCTGTGGAAGTCAAGACAGGGTAAAAATCAATTTCTCAATCAGCTTCTTTCAGCCCATCCCTGCTTTGTCACAATATGATAAAGAAGTAGCTGTGGGCACCTGTCACTACACTGGCTGACTGTCTCCCATGCAAGATTGCATGCCCATTGCAACCACTGGAGGTGAGAGGGATTATCCCCTGCCACCCAAAAGGGATTAGTGAAGAATCTGTCCTCAATATGTTGGCTGGACCAAGAGCCACAGAGGGCTGGAAAAGCTGTTTGCTCAAAGAATGGCAGAATCAGACTTTCAGTTAAAAGAGACAGAGTCATGGTAGCCAATTGCAAAGAAGTGAGAAGGTTTTTCATAAATGGTAACTGCTTTTGTTCTGGTACAAATAATTTGTATCTCTATGAAATAGGCATACTTTGCTCACAGACAGGAGAGGAGATAATATGTGTGGGTGGGGACGGTGGAGGCATCAGGGTTTGCTGGGCAGAGGAAATGTGCCAGGCTGCCTATCACAAATGCAGGACAGGAAACCACACAGCATTACCCTTGAAGGTAGAAGCTTCTTGTTAGCCCTTACTGTTCTCCATAGTTGTCTCTCTCCAAACAGAATCTTTTCTTTTTGAGCCTTTTCTCTCTCAACCTCAGCTTGTGGTGTAGTGAGAAGATGGCCAATTATTCCAAATGCTTTTGCTGTATCATTGTCTCCCCTTTTCTGCAATCTTCTCTAGGCAGTAGTTCTGTGAAAAGGCTAAAGCCCATGGCACTGACAACCCACAGAGCCAACAGAGAAGCTCACTTCTCACAGTGCAGCCTGTTTCTTCCTCTGCTGGTGGCAGCTCAGTCAGCCCAGCTCTGGGGCCCTTCCCTGCAAGAGCCCAGTCCTCCAGGGTGACCTGCAGCCCTGTGGCAGGAGGAGATTTTGACCCTTACTTTAAACCCTGTGATGTCAGTGATGAAACTAGAAATGCAAGAAACCGATGGCTCTCAGATGGGATAGGAGGCCTGGTGAGTCAAATCCAGTATTTCAAAGGCATAGAGGCACCCTGGGAGGGGAGAAACCCTAAGCTCCCCAGAAATAACACCAGGTTACCTCTTCCTCTCCTTTACCTTCAAAACGAAGATGACCAACCAAATCCCCCTCTGTCACCTCTGCTGCCACAATCCGTATTCTTCAGGATACACCCCGATATACACACCCCTACTCAACATCTCTGCTGAAGGGCACCATTTGTCATCACATTCAAGAGGTGCCACCCATCCTTTAGTACCGACAGTACTCAGGCTAGTATTAAACTTACTGTGAAAGCTAACGCTTCACAACTGTCTTGGGCCAGGCACTCCCCTGAGCACTCTTCAGTTACCTATATAAACTCAATCCTCACAACAGCTTCAGATGGAGATGCTGTGTCTCCCTTTGAAAGATGCAGAATCTGAGAGACACTAGAGTATGTGAAGTTAGCCACTGTGATATAATGCCCGCTGATATTATTAATAATACTCATAACCTTAACAACTCACATTTACTTACCATGTATCTGGACCTGTATAAGTGCTTCAAGGGTGCTAGCTCCATTTATCTTAACAACACTATTAGGAAATTTGTATCATCAGCCCTATTTTACAGAAAAGGAATGAAGCTAAGATAAATTTGCTAATAACTTGTTCAGAGTCACGCAACCGGTATGTTAGCCAGATCTGCTTAACTTTCACCTCCTGCCCTGTGCTGTCTCCTTAGCCCACGTCTCCTTGCTTCTTCACGGTGGACAGCTCATAGCATGGCTGGTCTTAATAGGTGACATGTCCCAGTGGCAGTGGCAATTGCTCTACCAGCATCTCTCTGCAGTTGTTTTGCAGATTTTTATCTTGTCCCACTAGCCCCCTCCCAGCCACAAACTGAAATGCCTCTTCTTTCCTAACTCCACGAACTCCTGGCATGTCACACATTGTACTCAGAGCACTGACAACAGGCATCTCATCCTTAAGAAGCTTATTAAGAAATGAAGCTATTTTTCTCTGGCAGTGAGGAAGCCCTCCCACCCCGATCAATTGCCCTTCTCATCTTAGAGATGAAAATAAAGCCCCTGGAAATCTTTCCGGTGTGTGAGATGAAACAGGGAGCAGAGATAAACTCAGGGATTTGGATTTATCCTTGACCATGGCAGCATTCATTAGAGCTGCTTCCCTGAGTCCTCTTCCTCATGGTCAATTTTGTAGCCACCCATTGGCGTTGTTTCTTCTTCGGAAGGCAAGACTCAATACATCAAATTGTCATTGTCCTACTTACACTCTCCATGGATGCCGAATGGCTGGCGATCATTGAAATATGTGTTCCTTGGAAGCGTGTTGGGAGAATCTCTTTGTAAAATACTGTTGCCACCAGACATTTTAGTAAAACACCCAGAGCATTCATATAGTTCCATTTCCTGAACATCCTATATAACCAAGTCTCCAAGAACACACACATTTATATCTTAGGAGGCACCCAAATTAAACAGCAGTTTCTCAGGCATAAGGAAGACCTCAACTCCTCACCACAATGTGTTTTAACACAACTCATTCCTTGTGTTGAGACAGCATGTCCAAAACAAGGTCTACTCTGCTTAGATTCTGTTTAATGGCAAGAAATGTAAAAGGAAAGAGAGAAGCTTAAATGAGGAAATAATGCTCTCTTTCTTTCAGACAGCAGAAGGAAATTGATATTCTCTCTGCCGTGAAAGGTCAAAATGCCAACTTTGAATTGAACTGCAAAGACTAAATTCTGAACAATTATTCTCTGCAGCAGTTGTAAAAATTTCAGCAAATCGCAGCTGTCTTAGGTCTTTCACCCAAAAGACCTACTCATTTCCATCAGCTGAGTTCACTCTTCCAACCTGGCATGTCCAACCTAGCACTAAATCCCTTTGCAAAATCAGTCTGCATAACAGCATGGCCAAAAACCGAGGGCAGCTCAGGCAACCTGAGCACAAACACCAGGCTCAACCTCTCTGAAAATCATCTTTACACATAAACCGCTGGAAAAAGTCGTAGTTTGAAATTGTTTCAGCGGCCTGGCAATGCTTTTAAAACATGATAACCATCACACTTTACTCCTCTCTGAAAGGTTAGTTTAATCGTAGATCACAAAAAATTGGTTTCCACAAATGCATAATGGTTCATCTATGTCACACTTGAACTAAATGGTTTTTTAAATGGAGCTGAAATTATTTTGATGTGTACACAGTCTTGGATTTCTATACAACCTTTTTTAACCAGCCCATCAGGAACCTTGCCTCTAAAGCCTCATTAATAATTCAGATGTGCTGATGACTTTAAAAGATCTATGGAATTGAAGCTTAGGGAAAAAAAAAAAAACTCTGCTTGACAAAAAGATAAATGAATGTAGAAAGAAGCTGTAGGAGTCTGGCAAGCTGTAGATCATCTCAGAACAGATTGTAACTTTATCATTCTGTCAGGGGGAATAATTTAAAGCACTTAATCAGTTAGCTTCACTGTGAGGATGTAGCATTATGAATTCCTATCGTCCAATCTGTTCAAATCAAAGTGAACTTAATTATAATAGGTGAGCGAGCCAGAGCAGGAGGCGGATGGGGAGAATGAGGCAAGAGGTAGAAAGTTTCCTGTGCGGTAAACTGAGTTGCCGCATAAAAGTGGGGCGAGGCTTTGACTCAGGCACATCCCTGCTCCAGTGACAGCCCTCCTTGACATTGACAGCTCAGGGCACTTGAAATAGCAGAAGTAAGAACTGAGGAGAAACAAGCAGAGTGGTCATGAGCTGATCATAGATACTTAATTTATAAATCATTAGCCAAACATGCACATACCCACCCACCCCCAACATCCCCTATCAAACCAGGTGAGCAGTTTTCACTATAGTGTCCATCCAGGACCACTGACAAGGCAGTTACGAATTGTTCTGGTAAGCAGAAAAAGCAGCTAGAGAGACCATTGTCTCTATAGCAGCGGACGTGCTTGATAGCTTTTACCCTTTTGCTTTTCTTTCCCTAAGCCACTAAAGTGAGGCGTATGATTCCCAACTTAGAATGTCCTATTTGCCCAGTCCTTTCCTATCTATACACATGGCCAATTTCCCAGAAAATTTCAATCCTAGAAAGAGGCGGGGATGAGAGTTGAGTCTTGTAAAATAGCTTTGCACTACGAAGAGGATGCTAGACCATTTTTATTCTCATCCCAGCCCCCAAACACCCTGACTCAGCATTCTCTCTCAGCCATTTCTGTATTTAGGGTGGAAATGAAATGCCAAGACTTCAATGAGCTCCCTTGTCGACAGCTTGGGTTATTATAGTCAGTTAAGATATTGCCACTTGGAACTCTATTCATAACTTTATACCAACACAGAGTTTTCTTTCTTGAAATAAAAGCCACCTCAAAATCCTCTTTAAAACATTGGTCGCTATTCTGATTTGCATAGATTTTTGGCCAGCAAAATCTATGGGTTTAGTTTAGACCCCCCAAAGTGGCTACAAATGAAACAGGAGAGTGGTAAAGTTGAGACATGACTTTATGTGTATGTGTTATAAGGAAAGCCAAGGAAAGGCTGGGAGGTGGAGATTCTGTATAAGATTCTAGATAACTCGCTCTGCAGCAAGTGTGGTGGTGCCCTTCTGTTCCACTCGAATCAATGGATGCACACATCTCTTCTCAGGCACAATGTCTGTACCCAATGACTGATATATGCAACATCCCTTCCCCACCAAACCTTTTCTGGCCACGAAATTAACTCCAAGGAATATTGCCAGAGTCCATTCTGCAACCCCTTCTTAGCCTCTGAGGTCCACTCATGGGGCCTCTGAGTCCCAGTGACACATTTTATTGATCACTTGCTACAGGAAGCAGAGGTATGTTTCAGGTTCTGGGGTCCTCCCTACACTGCACTCTCTCTCTTAGCAATTAACTCACTGTCGGCTTCTATCGATTACCTTTTTGCATTTTTCAATGAACTTTCCAAAGGCTTTGCCTTAGGACTAATTAAACTTCTAATTTCTCCTTCTTGTTCTCTATCCATTTTGCCCTTTAGCAGAAAAGAAATGGTTTACAGATGAACCGGATAATGCCTATCCCAGAAACATTCAAATCAAGCCCATGAGTACCCACATGGCTAACCAGATCAACCAATATAAATCCACAAGCAGCTTGATTCCACCAATCAGAGAAGTTGAAGATGAATGTTGACTCCCAGGAGACCAGAACTACTTTTTTAAAGCCTGACAAACTTCATCAATGGTGACGTGACTTTTCTTCTTACATGCTGAATCACTGGTGGAAACGTTAGGATAAGCAAGAATTGCCAGAAAATAAAGTAGACAGATCTTTCTCTTTGTCTGCCTTGAATATTGCTTCCATGTATTTTGGAAAAGAAAATGATTTCATTTATAAATGAACATACTAAAATAGTCATGTATAGCCTCTAGCATTTTAAATTATTTTTGTTTATTAGAAAGAAAATATATTTTTTCTTTTCTTTCCATTGTCAAATATCTTCCCTATATCTAAACAATGCAAACTCTAAATGAATAAGTGGCCAGACTCCTTAATGTGTTTTTCTCTTCTTTCTCTCTTTTTCTTTTGAGGAGAATGATGGTCACCACCACAATTAATTGTAATTAATTTTAATGAATTATGAAAACAATTTTAAAATGGCCAACGATGTATACATGTATTTTAGTAAGTCCAAAAAAGAAGACGAAGGGGACAGGTGAATACCTGCTCCTCGCCTGGATGGGTGTGTGTTTTGATCTGCATTGACACCAGCTCTTAATAAATGGAAACTTATTTATTTTCACAGTTGAAAGTCATATTTTTGTAGTTTTTAGTTTTCATTCTGTAGTTCTCACCCCTTTGTTCATATTTTTAAAGGGAAGACCTTCTTGCTGCTTTTCTACAATTGGCAGATCAGGTTTGTCTGGCCAACTAAGGATACCAGGAGGGTTGTGGGCAAGCCTGGGATGTGGAAGCTGAGGACCAGATGCGCACAAGGCATTGCTCTGTTTGCTGTTCTAGTGGTGGGGACTCCTACATGCTGTATGCTTCTCATTTTGTATTTCCAAACCACCTGAGCGAGTAATGTCAACTTCGGGAGGGTCTGGTGGACTTCCTCCCCACTCCCCAAGTCTCAGAGCTTTTAGCCTGGAAGTTTGTAAAACTGATCAATAGTTTTACTTTACCATAGGCTATGAGAGGGCATTCATTCTTCTCACTGAGTTTTTGTTTAAAAACCAGGAAATTTCTACAATCATGGAGACGGGATTTTAATTTGCATGCTCTCCTTTATTTAGTTGCTGGGGCCAAACACGTGAACTTGTTACAACAATTTAAAAAATAATAATAACAAAAGGAAAGCAATGAATGCACTTCATATAGACTGTTAGAAAAGGCCTTTGAAAATTACCAGCAGTGAAATCAAATATATCATCCACTTTAAACTGCGGTCAAAAGATTTTTCTAGCCATCAGATGCAATTACAATGTCTCAGAGCTCTGCTGTCGCTTGCATGCTAAGTGTACAGTCTCCCGGCAACTGTTTTGTTCCAATCAACTTAGCAAGTCTTTCAACTTTAAAATTATCAGTCTTTGATATGATCATCAAGGTCTCTGGAGAAGCATGGATGTGATAGTGATTTCTATTTTCTTAAAAAAATGTAAACTGTGGACACTTAAAGGAACCAAGCTAACCAAAGTATCTCCCCAAAATTTCATGATATCTAGTCCATTAACTCTTTGGACCATGACCTGTGGTACTTAGTTATGGTAGTGCAAATCAGATCAGAGCAAAGCAATGAGATCATTTTGAAGACATATGTCCACTAAGTACTCCAATTACCAATGTAGGCAAAATGAGCTTCCACCTCTGTCCACTCCCTGCAGAGCCAATATAGTCGTGCTTCCACCTCGTAGGCATTGTCCTGCAGTGACTTGTCGGACTGTGGTTACTCTGTCGTCACATTTTGTAGAATTAGTTCTATAAAAGTATTGTGAATATAATGTATGTCCAATTGGATTGTTTAAAAACTACTTATAATTAATCACTAGCCTACTCAGCAGACTAAAATGACGTCAACGGTCTACATTCAGGCTTGTAAACATTTCTTGGTTTCCAACAGAAGTCAAATGTGTTTGTGGGGAGAACCTTTTGCCAGGATTTTGACAATTTTCCTGAAAGCTAGGCCTTCTTTTACATAATGATTTTGCACTGGGGTCACCTTAGTACATTCACGTCAATCCACGCTCTTCTTTCCTTCGTGAACCATAGTGGGCTCTTCACTCCTGCTCCTAATAACCACCTCCGAATTTGTTAGAGCGATTTGGTCTCCTCTGGCAGGCTGTGGTGGCCACATAAAGGATCTTCCATTAGAGGGACACAGGACACAAAGCTCCATTCCCACTACCCTCTTTTCCCTGTGTCTCCCCTACCAAGGCAATCTGGAAGCAGAAATGCAAACTCCAACCCCACGACACATCCATTGATGCATTTGTGGCTAGAGATTTGAATCTAAACTTAAAAAAAAGAATCATAATAGTTAGGATCATCTCCTACAACAAAGGGCTCCTTGATTCATAAGCACCATCCCCCCAGAAAAAACAAAACAAATTGGTAGAAATTCATTTTCTTAAGTAGAGCAATAAGTTCATACTATGTTGCCTTTGTAATAATGAATTGTTCTGGCCTGGAAAACAAAATGAGGCGTTTTGTTAAGGAGGTAGGAAAATGGCTGGCTGTTGGGCCCTTTGGCAAAAGCTGGTGCCTGGTAAGTAGAAAGCGAAATGGAAGCAAGTAAGATTTGTGAAATCACTGGAGGGCTCAAGCAAATGCCAGAGATTCTCCCTGGCTTGTTCGTACTCGTTGAGCTCTTTGGCCCTGAGTCCCATCCATCTCCGCTGAGACAGTCTGTCTTTCTGCCTACATCCGCCTGAGACCAAGGAAGGTCTTCTTTAGCACAGTCCACATTAGAGGCTCTGATTTCCCATCCCAGTTTAGGGCTCCAGAAAAGCCATTCTCCCAAACTAATGATTCTTGGGTGCTGTGGGAATCAAAGACTCACCAACAGGCTGTTTACAAAGCAGAAAATATCATCACCATCATCACCTTTCTCCTTGAGAAAACTTTTTTTTTCCTCATCAATTTTATATTTTAGAATATCATCTTGAACCGTTACAAAACACCTTAAATAAAAGTGACTGTGACTAAGGCATGTTGGAGAACATTCCAAAACTCTTTCTTCCCAAGGGTTCTGGCACCTTATGATGTGCTTTGTAAAAAATGGAAGATTTTAAATAAACAGGAAATTGGAAGTGTTTGTTAGGGTTGGATAAAGGAAAAGTGAAAAAGCATAAGAAATCTGGGATATTTTCATGTTGAAAGGAGAAAAAGCACAAATTCCCTAGTTACCATTTAATATGAGGGTGCAAGAGCCACATTTACAAACAACTAGCTATGATCTTTGAAAATGTTTTTAAAACTCTCTGCGTCTCAGTGACTTCATTTGTAAATGAGAGTGATTCATCTAGATGACGCTAAGGTCCCTTTCAGGTCCCAGGGGACATGATCTAAGTTAGGAGTGGGAACATGGGAGCAGCTGCCTCTTCTTGGCTAAACGTTTGGAGACTATTGTGTCCAGGGCTGGAATAATCGTCCTTTATGCTGCATCACCCAGGCAACACTCCCAGCCTTACTCACGAGTGGTGAACATTTTCTGCTCTGGACGTAGAATAGGTAGGTTCTTTCCTGTGCTTTTCACCTTAGAGTCTTTTTAGGTTCAAGATGCAAATTTCTCATTTCGGAGAAATAATAGTCACCATCACAATTAATTGTAATCAAGGGAAATGAATTATTATAACGATTTAAAAATGGCCAGGACCTGAATCACGTTGGTCAAATTTCACTGCCTGTTCTAGGGTTTTCTTCTCAATTTCATCCCTCCTCCCCCCCGCTTTTTTTTTTTGGTTCAAGGCCCAGCTTCAGCTAATCCCTTCATCTCTATTCCATGTCTCCAATTCCTAGTATGTAACTAGAGGTTCAAGAGACCCCAAATTCCTGCCATTTTCCCCATTTATGTTTCCCCATGTGGATCTTCAGGAAGTAACCAGTCTTCCTTCTCACTTCATTTCCTATCCTCTGTTTATTTGGTTGTTTTCTTTCATTAATAAACTAACCATCTCTTAGCTACTTACATTCATAAATGTAATTTTAATCTATTGTTTTATTGTCAAAGGGAACCTCATTGAAGGAAGGAAAGGCGAAATTGAGGAATAAAGGTAGGAAGGGAGAGAAACAAAGACTATTCAACCATTTGACTGAGATGTGAGCCGCCTTGACTCCTAGGAGACTAAGTAGATCCATTCAGCTTGAACACTGAGCTCCAGGGCAGAATCTGTCCATTTTCTGTTTTATTCTTACTTGCTGCTTTTGGAATTGCCATGACCCTTGAAAGGATCTTCACTAATTAGGACTGACTCACCCTCTTTAAAAAGCAAAAGAAGCAGAAGTTACTTACAATCTTCTGGCAAATTACCTTTCTGCCCCTCTCCTCATTCCCAAAAGGTATTTTATTTTAATCCAGCAGAGATGATTTAGCATATAAATCCCACGGCCATTTGAGGAGGTGATGATGCTATTTGGATTTATTTATGAGAGAGTAGTAATGAGAAATGATTCCTAGACAGTTTGTACTAGTTCGGTCATATTGGTTGTTTAAGTGCAGTCTCTTCCAATTGGTTGTTTCCAATAAAGTACCAGTTGTTAATAATTTCAAGAATTCCATAAAAATAAGGAAACTTGGAAAACATTTTAAATTTTATTTCTTAAGAGACCACAGAGCCTAATTTTCAATTTTTATGGTAAGCTTGCTTAAAACATATATAGAAAGAAGCCTATGTGCTCAAAGACAGAGGCACCTTTAGCCCTACAATGGTTGGAATCTCCATGATATCATAGCCCCACATGGATAGATTGGAGAAAGAATTCTGACTTAGACCACCTGTAGCAGACTTTCCTCTTTTGACATATATATATATATATATATATATATATATATATATATATATATATTTTTTTTTATCACAGAAAGGACCTGAGACTCCTTATCTAAAGATAAGACAAACTTGGGGTATACATTAAGAATCCAGGAAGACAGAAAAAAAGGAAAAGATATAATAAGCAGTATTTTAAAATACCATCAGTTATGGGCATGCATCTGGTACAAAGAGTAGTTCTTTGGGTTGGAAGAAAGAAGAGTTTGCATTGAACTGCATGGGCTGGTAAGAATGCAGAGGCATATAATGCTTGATGGGCTTTGGAGGCATTTCATTAGTAATTGGGTGACAGGACTGGAAAGATGTGTAATATGAGGGTTTTCCAGGGAGATGGGACTTAATGGGCCATGATGTATTTGTAGGAATGTGATTTTAATAGATTGACTATTTTGTCTACTGTGTTAAGTTTGTGTAGGGGAACTGGGGAAAACTGAGATGCGACTTCATGGAAGGGGCTACAAAGTACAGTCTAAAGGCCTAGATAAAAGCTTGAAACTTGATTTAGAAAGTCATGAAAAGCCACTAAGAGTTTTAAGCAAAGAGTGATGGGGCAGCAATGGCTGTGCATTTTTCAGGCTGAAAGTAGTGAGATGTCAGTTCTTCCTGGAAAATATCGTGAGAATGCACACAAAACTGAACATATTCTCAGCAGCAAGGAGTGCTAAAGGGTGCCCGCTCCAAGTCAACAATTCACTGTGTGCAACACCCCCCTTCCTCACACATTTGGCTTTGCTTTCTGTCACAGGACCATCAGACGTAGAATGTCCTGACTCTCCTGAATTACTAGAATGTCAGCAACAAACTCACAAAGTAGACTAGATGGTAGGAATGGATACATAAATTTTTAAAAATTGGCCAATCATACTATTTTCTAGACAGTAATATAATAAGAACATGAGGCAGGACATCCACAAATTGTAGAGAATAATTAATAGTCCAGAACTGCCAAATAGGAATTTCCATTATGAAAACATCCTTGCAGCTAATCAGGTAGCCCTTGCTTAGAAACCTGTTAGCACCCGTTAAATATTTGTAAAAGGAGCGGCTGGGAGAGAAATGAGCACAATATAGGTACTGCCATCAATCAGCTTATAATACAACTAAAGAAAGAAAACATGCTCAAAGCGCCATTAGAGAAAGGGTGAGCCCTAACGACATAGTTTCATATTCAATATGGTAGGAGATGAAACAAGGGAGAATTGCTGTGGTTTGAAGTGGTTCAGCAAGGTAGGATTTCTAGAGAAAGGGGGGTTTAGGAGTTAGATTAGTAGAGGGTCAGCATTCCAGGTATGAAGGCAGGATTATCTGGCATGTGGCAGGGTGGGTGATGTTCATCAGTAACTGCTAATTGATATTTACTGAGCAGCTGTTGTGTCCTCACGACTGTAAGGCTATTAGAGGAAAATAGCCTGCCTGCCAAACTGGGAACACAAGGCACACATATATTGGAAAGATCACGTTGCACAAAACAGGTGTTCAATAAATAATTTTTTAATAAATGTGAACACTCAATAACAAATAAATGTTACGATCGTAATAGTTGTAGAAGATTGGTTGGGATTGTAGTGACTGGATATGGGGCAATGGCTGTGGGTCTAGAGTATATTCATTGTGCAGTGAACACACACCTAATCTGTCCTCAAGGACAGAACCATGTGGAGGAATAGGAAAACAAGAGAAGCAGGCAGGAAGGGAAGGTCGTGAGTACGACAGCTAAGAAATGTTATATTGGGTTCATCCAGAGCAGGAAAAGCTGAGAGCTGTCCATGAGAGAAGGCCCCATAGGCAAGACGAGTGGGACAGGGGAGTGAAGAAGTGGGCTACAACAGGCCCTGCAGATGTGGAAGCCAAATCCACAGAGGCACTTAGAAAGTGAGGATCCTGGATGAATTATTTTAGGGAGAAAATATAGGTTTAGATCAGCTGGCAGATATGTTTGTAAGCTAAAGTCATGTTTTTCAGGACTAAAAAGGAGCAAAATAAGTAGACCTTCTTGGGACAGGAGATCTAGGGTACTCCGGAACCAGGAAAATGAGAAATAAGAGGGGAATTTTAAGAAAGAGAGGACAGATCATCTATGAGGCTGGAGATGAAAGGTGTTGGAGATGGTGATGTAGAAGTCAAAGGACTCACTCGAAGGACTGACTCTGCTTATTTGTCCATATTCCCAGAGCTTGTCATGAGATCTGGCCCAGGTGGGCAGTCACTCAGCCACTATGTGTCACTGTGGCTGCCATGGTGGATGGAGGCTGGACAGGTAGTGTGGCGACTGGCAGTCTTTCTGGAGGACTCAGGAGGGAGGGGTTTCAAGGTGGGCATCACCTTTCATGTTCCTGTCCATGTCTGCACTGTTCTTCTTCCCTCCCTGAATAGCACACACCCTGCACCCTTAGTTTCAGGGGTCTGAAAACAAATGCTACGACCACACTGCTTTGGTGGCTTTTCTGAACAGGCAGTGTGAGAAGAGATGTTCTGGCCAGGTGAAAGTGGACTTTATCTTTAGGTAGGTTTTTCAGTTTAGAAAGGTTTCCTTTGCTTATCCCTTGAGGACTTCTGTGCTGCCTCTTCTCCTGCATCTTGCTAGTTAACAGAACAGGGGCAGAAGTGACACCAATGCTCTTGGCCTTGCCTGCCTTGGGAAGCACTACCAGGCCCCACTGTTTAGGATGTTAGATGGAAATGTACACAAGGCACTGGCACACGCCTGCCAGATTGACCCAGTGCTTCTCTCCCATGGGACTCAGGGTCAGCATGGGAAGGCTGCTGGCAGGGACAGGAGCCCCACCCGCAAGGTGGACCGAGCCTCACTTCCACACAAAACCAGAATCCCATCTGCCCCAGAGCGCTCGCTCTCCTCCCCTTCCTTCCGCTCAATACGGTCTGACATGCCTTTGACCAGAACTGCAAAATTTCAAACATAAACCCAGATCTGTTGGGAAATCCTAATTAAAAACATTCCATTCCCAGGTGGCACAATCACATCCTGCCTAAAACTTCTGGCCCACATCCCACCACCCAGATGTTGAAAAGAAACCTTCCTCTGCGTAACACCAAAACCTGCACTTCAAGGTTTCTTTAGGAGACAAAGAAAAAAAAAGTACACACGTGCAGAGTTCAGCCTACATGTTCATTAAGGAAAAAGAGCGTGGCTTATTCATCTTTCGATCTTTGTTGGCATTATGATTATGATTATGATAAATTACTCTGACCTGACAGGAATTGAAGAAGAGAATATATGCTGGTGCTCTGAAATGATCTACCCAACTCTGTCATCTGTAACAACCAGTGATAACTCTCTTGTCTTGTAAAAAGGGTTTGTACATAACTTGTACATGGTTTCATTTTGTATTTTTCGCAGATTAAAAATTTATGTATTTGTGTTCTAAAATAAGGAGTGTTTCTTGTGTCTTTGTAGCAGTCACATGCCATGGGGGTGAGAGGTGGGCTGGGGGTGGTGAAGTCCCTGAGTTCTAATCAGTCTGCTTTTGTCTCCTCCCTCCATGCTCCTCCATGAAGGCAAAGTTGTGGATTGATTGAAATCATGAGCTTCCCTTTGCAGTTTCAAGTGCAAATAGACCTCCCCACCTCCATGGTCTTCAAGGAACCAGTCAGTGGGTGCTGCTTAAGACTGCAATAGGCATGGCGGAGAGAAAGAGCTGCTGTCATTCAACGTAGTGCCTGAGAGCCCCCCTACATAGCCACACTGGGGCCAATGGGACAGGGGCTCCTGCAGAAGGCTCCAGCAAGCAGGGCACTAAAAAAATGCACATCTTTCAATAGGTCCTTGAAAAGCTAAAGCATTTCTCCCCTCAGCCACCCACTCTCAAGCTCGTTACCATTTCCTGCCATTTGCATAGACAAATGGTGTTCTTTCCCCTGCATTTAGCTTATCAAAACTCAGGACAATCTGCTAAAGGTTTGACTCATCCTACTCCACACTCAACCCCAACAGGGCAACAGATGGACATTTTAAAAGCAAAAAAAAAAAAAAAAAAAAAAGCCCTTAAAAACTAATCCTGCCATGTTGGGCCATGCTCTAAACCTTCTTCAGAACCTTCAGAGTTTGCACTCTTTTCAGGGACCTGGACTCCCAAGGGCAAAGCTGGTCCAGCCTACAGAAAGGGAAGGACCTGGAGAATGGGAAAAAGCCATCCAAGGTATATAGATGTGATGTGTAGAATGTGTTGGGATTTAATGTATTCTAGAGATTGTTTCATTTGCTCATTAGCCAAATATTTACTGAATAGCTATTATGTTAACAGTCCTCTGCTGGGAGCTGGGAAAACAACAGTGAGGAATTCTATGATTCCAGTTCTCCAGTCTTGGGGAGGGTTGGGATCAACAAATAAACATGTGATAGCCATGTATTAAAAATTGATCTCTAGGGGAAAGCACAGTTTGCCATTGGGAACACATCAGAGGGGCACTTAGCTATTTGAAGAGGAGTATACCAATTGATAGATATTTTAAAAAATAAATCCCCCTTCTACCTAAGTCAATATAAGCCCCAACTGGAACTTATTCCCAGTGGTCAGCAAATGCAGGTTTACCTGTCAGAATGTGCCAGTTCCTGATAGTCCTTTGCGCTCCAGTTTCTCAACTTGCCTTCTCCAATATTTGCTAACAAATCTGAATGTTGTTGGGGAATGTAATTGCAGAGCATATGGTCCCCATTAGTTAGGCAAACTCCACTGCCAAATTCAGCTCCAAGGAAGGAGTCTGCATAAAGGATGAAGTATTAGGAAAACATTGACAGTGACAGAGAAGGCAAATAAAAGAGATGAGACAGTGAGTTACAAAATAGCAGGCTCGGCAAACCCAGCACAATGAATGTGGAACATAATTTTCCATTTGTTGAGAAAACAATATATGTGAATTTGTACTAAAATCTCCCTGTAGCAAAAATCAAAGTAGACCATTCACCAGAATCAATGTTAACTGCTTTGCAATGTCAGATAAGATAGATTCTGCTTGGGAGAAAAACATGAGTGGAACAGAATAGACAGTCTGCTAAGGAAATAAAGCATGAGTGACATCAAAATGTAAATATAGACTTAACGCTATTTTAAATGTTACTGGACCAGCCTTTGAGAGGAGAAACAGAATCTTATGCTTAATAACCTCTCACATTCAGAGAGTATAAAAACATAGGCTAAATATAGTCAGACATGAGGTCCCCTAAGACCCAGGAAAGAAGATGGGACAAGATGAGAGCCTGGGGCTTCATCAGGCAGAAGGCAGATTCCCCAGACCAGTCAAGCTTCTGAAAATCAAAGAGGGACCAGGGCTGAACCTGAATCCAGACTCAGCTTGGCTGCTTGGCCTCCTCTCCCAAGCAGCTGATGCTATGGGTCCTTCACCCCAAAGCCTATCACATGCTCGCTGGTTTTTAGTCTATTGTAATTAACTCACCCTAATTCAACAATTTTTTTTTTTTTTGAAAAAGCACTTTAATTAGGTGTTTCCAAAAATAATCAACTTCGTTTTTCTGGAGTCAACAATCTCTTTCCTTCACTTCCATTTCTCTGGTTAACATACTGTTTAATTCAATTGCATACTACAATAACAAGTACAGATGTTTAAACAAGCTTGAGACTGCTGGTCAGCTCACCTGGTGAAATCCCAAGGACACAGGTGAAGTAAGGAGTTCTGTGCAAGGCACACAATTTCAGTACACCACGGAAAGCCGTTAACTTGTTCACAGGAGAAAGGAGACAGACATCAGCTAATCCAACTAGTGGATAACTGGTGCTTATTTAAGAGCGCTTCTGAGGGAAATGACTTTTAATATCTATATATGGGTGACTATTGAAGTGAATTTGTTCACCCATTCCATGGAGTGCCAGTAAAAAAGATGAGTTAGACTTAATTATTATATATTAGGGGTTGGTGAACTATGTCTTGAAGAAAAATGCAGCCTGCCACTTGCTTGTTTTCTAAATAAAGTTTTATTGAAACACAGCTATGCCCATTCATTTACATATCATCTATAGCTGAGTTTCTGATACAACAGCAGAGTTCAGTATCTGGGATAAAGGATAAGGTTCATAAAGCCTAAATATTTACCATCTTACTTTTCACAAAAAAAATTATGCTTATTCTTGGTCTATATTGCTTACAGGGAGAAAATAAAAGGTATAGTAGAATCCCATTTGTGTTAAACAATTAGGTTTATTTATTCATCATTAAAACTGGGGAGGAAATAAGGTCAAGTCATAAGCAGTGATTATCAGAGTAGTAGGAAGCAAAGGGGAAAAATTAAGAGACAAGAAGGAGTTTTGCTTTTCACTTTATACATTTCCGTTTTATTTAGGTTTATGTAGATCAAACATGCATAATTTTTACTATTGGAAAAATGTTAAAGATAATTCTTTTAGGAAAATTAATAAGTAAGTTTAACTAGCTAACAAAATAAATTTATAATAAATAAGAGCCTATGGTTACCCTGCGTTTAAGTGGCATTACCAGGATGGGAATGCAGTTCTTTTGACTCCAAAGACCATTCCAGAGCTCTACATCTCGTAGCTGCCAGTTTCCAAGTGGCGTGTATAAAGGAGGAAAGTGTGAGACATAGTGACAGTTTATCCAGTACTCTGAGTTTGCTGCTTTGCCACAGTTGTTGAGCTCTGGACCTGCCAGGCTAGCAAGCAGGAGTCTCATCCCCCAACAAACTGTTCTTCCTGTAATTGCATCCCCAGCACCAATGCAGCAGCAGGAGAACTCTACCTGCCCACAGAAGGAGGCTGCAGGCCTGAGCTACCTAATTGTGAGGCTCTGCCTACATTCATCCTCAGCGCTCAACTCAATAGCACCGCACTGGGTCCTGACCTCATTCTATTTTGTGCAGTCCTTTTTACATCAAGGCATCTTCCCAAAAACTGATACGCACTCCAAGAATCTTTTATCTATTAATTAATTAAAATAAAATTAATTGAGCACAATAGATTATGCATACAATTGGCACACATTTTAAAGATACAGAATAAACAGTGAAAATAAGTCTCCCTCCCATTTCTGTCTTAGACATCCAGCTCCCCTCCCTAAGACAACCATGGTTAATAGTTTCTTCTTCATCCTTCCAGAAAGTCTTTGTATATACAATCATAATCCAAACATAACATGCTATATACTTTGTAACACTTTAAATACACTCTATATATCTTTTTAAAACAATATAATGTGTAGATTTTTTGGTCCATCCATCAATCTTCCTAAGGGCTGCATAGTATTCCATATAAAAATCATCTATTTAACCTTTCCCCTATTGATGATTATTAGGTTGTGTTTATTCTTTGGCTATTTCACCCACAAATGTAAGCATAGCAGTAGGTTAAATTCCCAGAAACGGAATTGCCTTGTCATTAAAAAAAAAAGTTTTAAGTGCAGTTATAGTTGATTTGCCAAACTATCCCCCACAGAAGATGTTTTAAATCATAATTCTACCCTCTACCCCAGCATTCTGGCTTTCTGCACCCTCTTCTACATGGGTTATTATATTAACCAGGATGCTTTTCACTGTAAGTAATAGAATGTCCAACTAAAAATTAGTTCTGGAAATGGAAAGTCCACAGGTATGTTAGTTATAGAGTTGGTTGATTCAGCAGCTCAACCTTGTTACCAAGAACCTAGGAGCTTACCATTTTTACGTTCTATTGTCTTCTTCAGCACACTGACAATGGCTGCGCTCATTGCCAAAGGACAGCTACGACTACTGTAGTGGTCACATACAAACAAAACAAAGTTCTATAAATGAAGAAGAGGTTAGTTTTTCTCACGGGACTTTTTTTTTAAATTGAAGAAGAAACATTTTCTAGAGTCACCTAGTACACTTTCTTTTGGATCCCATTGACCAGAATGAGGTCCCATGACCACACTCAAAATAATAAAAGATTTGATATGAAAAGGGTATAATAATTACACGTTCGACTTAGACTTTGAGCCTCTCATGTTAGATTGAGAGTGAGACCACCTCTTCTACTGCTTAAGTGGGGAATCCAGCAAACAAAAAAGAAGGAGGAGTGGTCATAGAGCAGGCCACCAAATAGTGGCCAATCTGAGATTTGAAAGTAAATTTTCATTTCAACTACATTTAAATTTTTAAATTATGAGCAAAGTTAAACATCTTTTGACATTTTGTTGCCAATTTTTCCATTTATATTTCTCTAACTGAACTTCCTATGTGATTTACTTTAAGTTACCTAGTTTTTTAATTTCTTAAATAAATTTCTTTTTAAAATTTCAAAACTAGCATATGCTCACCATAAACAATGAAAATATATTTATATTTAAAGTAATCTCCTCAAACCTCCTTTATATTTTTCACTCCTCCATTGCGAAACCAATGCAAATGTATAAAATAGGTGGGGAAATGTTTAATAATTTTTTGGC